AGATGCTAGAAAACTGCCGATATTTCCACTATAAAGCTATTGGTCATCGATCGCCAAGGTGTGTCAATTACTTTAACATATAAATTTTCATGTAATTACCTAGGTCGATATTGTAACTCATGAAGCTTACATAAGTTGTTTTTCACGTGATAGCCGAGAGTTTTGCTTTAATTTATTTTTGATCCTCTGCAGGATAAAAAAGAAGAATATAAATTATCTACAACATGATATATTTTTTTGCCACTGACCTCCTAAATTGCAGTTTAGTAAGAAGAATTATTGGCAAAGTTGGCAAACCCGCTACGGATATCAATAACAGAATCTTTTGTTCTATATAAACTAAACGTTATTCTGTGAAATAATTGGTTGAGAAAATACTTTTCTGCAAATTGTGTTGGTTTCTCTTTGGATGGAAAAACAGTTTACAAGTTGAGGCTGATGAGTCCTTATTGGGTGAACCGAGATTCGATTGCTCATGCAAACATTACATTGATCCCAAAATATATCACCACAGCTTTTGACTCTTGTAACCATCGTCAATCTTGTTTATGGTGGAGACTGAAAGTTTCAATCGCTCAGTTAAAAATTTGCAACAATGAAAACATCTGCTGCAAAAAATCAAGACCCTCTTTTATCCACCAGCGCTTTCAATTTGCAGAAAGAAATTAAAATGCACAATAATTAACTCCTGTTGATGCAGATATTGATAAAGTCTTCTGTTGTTTCCACGCACGTTTAAGCAATTTGTGCAATCATTTGTCAAAGGAAAAAATACAATGAATAAGCGGGAATTTCTAACTTAAAAGTTCAGTATGCTTCATTACAAAGGGAAAACAATCTAAACGCGTTTTAAATGCCTCAGTAAACAGAAAAAACCAGTATTTATTTTGCAAAGCTTTTGGTCACAAACCTTCTTTGACGAATGTCAGCAGAGAGATCACCTTCGCTTTGTCAATTAAGGAATGTTCTTTCCTCGACAAAAGCATCGAATAAAGTTTGGTTTTCAGTTCTCTTTTCTTTGGCTTTCTCGTCAGGAAAATTTATTATTAGAATCTGTTTCCCTTTGTGACAGCAGAAGAGGACTGCCATTTTTTTCTCCATTGTTCAGCACTTTCAATTTCTATCTACTTATAAAGGAAAAGTGGCACAACCGGTAAATTCTCAAGGTGCGAGCAATGAAATCTCTTTCCATCATGGAAAGCAATTTGTTAAATTATTTGTTTGAATTCCAAATAATCATAGGGTAAAGCTGGTGACTTCATTCATTCTTCCTAACAGCGGATATGCACCGCTGTTAGGCAAGTTGGTCACTACTCCCAATTATGACTCAATGGCGCAAACTCGAAAAGCTTTCCTATGAAGCGTGGTAGACTCAGTCTTAAAAGAAGATAACCTTTTGCGCGAGATGGCACCGATGAATAACACATTTTCAGCAAATGTTAGCATAGATGTAAAACCTGGTTTGTCCTTAAAAGCTCTTTCGAGGCCAGAAGGTATTGCATGGTGCGCTGTTTTCTCCTTGGTTTCTTTCTTTATTGCCGTTGTAAACCTCCTCATAATTTTCCTCTTCTCGGCCAACAAAAGAGTTCGTCAAAAAAAGTTTGTATCTCGTGATTAGTATGGCTTTGGCTGATCTGCTGTTAGGGGTTTTTGCTCTTCCCATCTACATCTATGTCTTAATTAGCAATGGTTATCAGTTTTCGCTGACGAATGTGAATTGGACTTTGTCTCAAGTCTATGTGCTCTCATACGGGATTTCAATCTGGGTTTCATTGAAATCTGCAGTTTTCATATCATGTGAGAGGCTTTAAGTCGTACATTGGCCATTCAAACACAGAACGCTAACCGCGCGAACATACCACGTTGTCTTATTTATCTTATGGACGCTTTGTCTCCTGAAAGCCACTGCCCCTTTTTACTTACGATCATACAAGTATTTCATCAGTTATGTTCGTTTATCATACGGTGTTATTGCAACAAGCATCATTTGCGGAAGTAACATCGCCATTTGGAGAAAATTTCGACGCAGAAACGTCACTTCACAACAGAAAAAAAGGGACGAGAAAAATGTTCGTTTGACGAAGACTTTAATGTTTGCTTCAATTCCTAATTTGCTTTGCTGGGTCCCTTTCATTATTGTATTTAGTGCACGGAATGAGAGTGTTTCAGTACCGATGAGGTGGATCGTTATTGCTTCTGTTCTCAATAGTTGTAATGCTCTTATAAATCCGGTTATGTATGCATTGAGAATTCCAGAGTTTCGACAAGCACTGGCTCTCAGCTGTGTCACAAAGCGAGTTGAAATGAAACCGGGAATAGTTGTAATCAAAGGAAACAACGAAAACTTTTTGAGAGGAGAGACAAAACTAAGAGCTTGTCACAACGAGCCTGATAACCTGGCATCAAGGTCTGATAACGATGAAATGGAAACCAAACTGTAGCTAACCTAGGTATGTAACTAATAAAAATTTCGCCGTCTGTAAAATTTTTTCTCTGGCGGAGTCAGGGCACGTAAAGTGCACTATCAGAGCCCCATATCACACGTTTTTGTATCTATTTCAACCGACAAAAGTCAGTGAACGCGTTAACTAAGAGATGGCATGTAAATGGATGTCATCAAATCGAGGCGATCAGTGTTCTTAATCTTACATCAATAACTTAATGGAGTCTGACATTATGGTTTGTTTATCTATAGAAAAAGTGTTTATTTGCTATCACTGTAAAATCGTTTCCATTCATAATCTTTCTCACTATCCTCGTCGATTAACTCTTTTTATGTTTTGTTTTTTCTTTTGATGGAGGTACATGTAGTTTTGCATGACGTAGAAAACGATTAAAAATTTAAACCCGTCTTACAGTTCTCTTCCATTCTGATTTCTGAAATAAATGATTTGCTTCTTGAGGAAATTCGGCAATATACTCAGCGTACAAATGTATTTTTCCTATAAGAAGCAGGGACATGCTCAGATGTATACTTTGTTCAGCAGTCAAAGCCGTAAACTTTCCATTTTTATTTGGTGAATTGTCTCGAATCACCGGTCTTTCTTTTAAATATCTT